CCTGGCCATGCCAAGAACATCTCATTTGAAGATGGACACATTTTAACTTACATTTTCCTACAGATCAGTGTCTTGTCCTCAATTTCCTATTATCCTGAATTCCTCCCTCTCCTTTGCCCTTCGCCCCCCATCAAATCTTCAACCTGTATCATCAAGTCTTATAGATCCTACCTCCTTAGTGTCACTCGGATCTATGCCCTCCTTTCCATCTCACTGCCATTGTTTCAGCTGACACCTCTCTCTCGCCCAGGCAATTGCAATAGACTCACTGTCTTTTTCTCACCCTGTTCTGATCATTCTTTACTTGGCAGCCATCAGATCTCGAATGCAAGTTTGATTCAATTACTCCCAATTTCAAATCCCTCCTTTCCTTTCCAACTGCTCTGGTATAGTTTGAGTTCATCTGGTTACTACCTCCCCAGGCTTACTTCTTAGCATACCCTCTTCACAGTCTATCTCTCCACGCATGCCACACTCCACCAGTTCCCAGACTACTCCTGGCTGTGTCCTTGCTCACGTGGCTACATCTTGAAACAGCCTCTTCCTACATCTCCCTTATACTGAATACTTATCTTTCAAGATGAAGGTCAAGGCGACCTCACCTCTTTGGGTGTCCTCCCCAGGTAGAACTAAGCAGTTTCTCTCTCTGCCCCCTCTGTCACACTTGTAACACTTTGTCTCTTTTCTTGCCTTCTACACTGTGAACCAGCATATTACACACACACACACACAGAGACACTGAAGGCCTGGCATGTAGAGGTGCTCAATAAATGATTGATGAATGAATAAGTCAATGAATGAATAACAAATAAATTCTGCTTCTCTGCCTTCCATTGAATCCGTACCTTTGTTAAAGAGATGAGAACTGACATACATCTGAGTATTGAGACTCCCAGGGAGTTATCTATATTACTGCTTGGGGAAGGAGTTCAGACCACACTTGGAAACTCAAGTGCTCTGTGGTTGGTGGTAATAGAGAAACCAGGTTTGAGCACCTGGGCCTGTGCTCAGGGACCTTGTGAGCCTCATAAGTTCCAGGAGTGATAGAAGGTGCCTATGGTCCAGGAAGAGGCTGATTACACTTGTGTTCTTCTTGCTCATGATGGGAATGAGCAGGGAACTCTTCCATGAATCCCATTTCTGCATCTTTTGTCATGATCTTCAGGCCTGACTCCCAGCCATGGCTTTTGGCTCTTGAGGCTACCTGACCTGTGGGAGATTCCACACCTGGGGAGAGACCCTTGTCCTGCCCAGTCAGGGCAGAGAACTTAAGTTCAGGATGAGAACAGACAGGACAGGGCCCTGCATAGTTGGGGTGGAAACTGAAACCCCTGCTGGGGATTGGTATTGGTGTGGGGCATCAATGGAGTCCGGACCTCTGGGAGCCTTTAAGGAGGAAGTAGGAGCGAGCCAGATCAGGCTCCTTCAATCCCTGGATTCTCACAGGTCCGGACCTGGAGCTGTCACTGAAGGTGGGGACTATTGAGTCAACCTAGACTGAGGCAGCATGTGAAGTGTGAAGAAATTGGAATTTGTTCAGGAGGAATAAGATAGCTATATAATTGGGATGATTCCAACTGGAACCAACATGTCGATGGGGAGGAAAACCCAACATATGGTAGGATCAGGGAGAGAGAAAAAGGGAGAAGAAAAGGGAAAGGATAGAGGCACATGGGAAGAGAAGAGGAAGGAAAGAAGAAGGAAAGGGAGGAGAGGGAGGAAAGGAAATCCAGGTCCTGCCCTTCTCTGTTCAGCATGAAGGACTGGAGACAGTGGCACTGCACTGGTGCCATCCAAGGGCCTCCATCCCCAGCAGAGGCCTTAGACTGGGGGACAGAGGGAGAGAAGTGACCGATGGGACCTGCAGCTCCAGGGCTGCCCTGTCCCTTTGTCTTGCAACCTGTTTATACCTCCAAGCCTGGCCAACTCTTGTGTTTGAAGGAGATGCCCTGACTCTGCAATGTCAGGGGTGGAAGAATACACCACTGTCTCAGGTGAAGTTCTACAGAGATGGAAAATTCCCTCATTTCTCTAAGGAGAGCCAGACTCTGTCCATGGGAGCAGCAACAGTGCAGAGCCGTGGCCAGTACAGTTGCACTGGGCAGGTGATGTATATTCCACAGATATTCACACTAACTTCAGAGACTGCCATGGTTCAAGTCCAAGGTGAGTCACCAGCTTGGGAGTTTGTGGGGCAAGAGGTGCCTCTCAGGGGTCCCATCTCTAGAGGTCAGTAGCTCTCTGGACAGGACCCCTGTCTCTGACTGCCCTTCATGCTGGGCCAATGTGTGGGGCCCCGAGGTTTCCCAAGATGTTGTCTCAATACCCCCCTCTCCCCACCATGGAGCACATATGGAGCCAGGGGAAGGAGTGGGGAGATTCCTGGGAGAGGGGCACTGGGAAGAGCCTGGACCAGTCCAGGTTCACCCTTCCCCTCTGTGGACTAGAGGACCTCAAAGGACCCCTCTGCCTCTGACTTCCAAGATTCCAGAAGGGTCTGGCTGTGTGGGAGTCACTTTCAGAGCTTGTGGGTAAGGACAAGAGGACAGGTCCTGGGGATCAAGCTGCCTCCCATCGGCATCCCCAGGCTGCAGCCCGGGATGAGTAGAAGCTCAGGCCTCAGCCTTCTGGGGCTTCATCATCTGGGACTCCCCTCCTGAGCCCTGGGCCTGCATCTCCCCAGAGCTGTTCCCACCTCCTGTGCTGAGTGCCACCCCCTCTCCTGAGCCCCGAGAGGGTAGCCTGGTGACCCTGAGATGTCAGGCAAAGCTGCACCCCCTCAGGTCAGCCTCAAGGCTCCTCTTCTCTTTCCACAAGGATGGCCACACCTTGCAGGACAGGGGCCCTCACCCAGAACTCTGCATCCCAGGAGTCGAAGAGGGATACTCTGGATTTTACTGGTGTGAGATGGCCCCCGAGGGTGGCCAGGTCCAGAAGCAGAGCCCCCAGCTGGAGGTCAGAGTGCAGGGTAAATGTGTGAGGGAGTGGCGACGCCCCCAAGGGTCTGGGCATCAGGCAGTGGGACCTCCTGGGAGGAGAGGAGTTGTGGGAAGGGTCCCCAGGAGAGGAAGGAGCCAGGGTCCTGGGTGGTCAGGCTGAGCTTCCCACCCCATGTGTGTCCCAGCTCCTGTGTCCTGTCCTGTGCTCACCCTGCACCACGGGTCTGCTGACCCTGCTGTGGGGGACATGGTGCAGCTCCTCTGTGAGGCCCAGAGGTGCTCCCCTCCAGTCCTGTACTTGTTCTACCTCAATGGAGATATCTTGGGGATCTCCCTGGGAATCACTTGGCTCCCCATGGTGGAGCTCTTTCCCCCTTGTTTCCAGTGAAGTCAGAGCAGGATGCTGGGATCCCATCCTGCAAGGTTGAGAACAGCATCTCCAGAGAGAGGAGTGAGCCCAAAAGCTCTCCCTTGTTGATGCATCTTGTCTTCTAACTGGGCTCTGAGCCCCGGGGCCTAGGATAATGGTTCAGTCATCACTGCACCCTCAGCAGCCTGGCATGGAGTGAGGGGAGCTTGGAGGAGGCAAATGTGTGGAGGGAGAGGAATCTCAAGCGTTAGGAAAACAAGGGCAACAGGGCCCAAGCAGTGAGATGTGTCTCCTTTTCACAACCACAGAAGTTGTGGATCCTTCCAGAGAACTGGTTTCCTGTGGTCTTAACAACGCTGAGCCTTCTAGCTCTTGGCCTAAGACACAGGCCACTTTCCTGCAGTGAGGGTGTAGGGTGTGTGTGAGGGGTGGGGTGGGGGCCAGACCTAGAGGCACATAGAGGGCATGAACAGAGAAGTGGAAGGAGCTAGAGTCCCATGTGCGTGTGGGCCTGGGAGGCCTGCAGGAGCCCAGAATCCTCAGCTTGGCCCTCATGACTCTCCAAGCCCTCTAGGCGCCCTGCCCCCAGAGTTGTCTGCTGGGGTGAGCCATTGACATGGGTCTGTGTGCTGTTCTGCAGAGGGAGCTCCGTGGCCTTACAGATAAGTTTTTTTTTTTTTTTTTT